GCGTAGTCCCGCCCAATTTTGCTAAAAATTAAAATAGTCCCGCAATGTTATCTTTTGTTTCTTTTCTGGCCTTTAATTAAAAAAACACAAAGATTTTTTTTACCAATTCTGTCAATTATGATAGTAATATTTTAATTAAAATGACAATTTATAGAGCTAAAACGACATGTTGAGGACAATGTTCAGCCAATCTTTACCTCAACATCTGTCATTTAACTAAGTTGTAGCCATTTGCTAAGGTCATCTAGCTGTGGTGGCCATCTTGATATGACTGACTGTAGATGTAGACAGTTGATCCGTCCAACGGTTCGTGAGGTATTTCGCTAACACACACACACTTCCCAACATCGAGCACACCTGACTAATGTAGGTGAGCTGTTGGTTTTTCTCAGCCCTGTGTTTTTCTTTTCCCTCCCCCACCTCCCCTCTTGTTCTCCCGTCTCTCTTCAAGCTCCCTCCTTTTACTCCCCAAGGCCTCCCCCCTCCTCTTCTTCTTCTCTTTTTTTTCCTGTGGTGTCAGACACAGATTTATTCTGCCTGTGATGCTTGTAGAGCAGAGGAGTGTGAGCGAGCGGACGTGGGGGGAGGTTTGGAGGGTCAGTGAGGAGGTGGTGGTGGTGGGGAAGGTGTGTGTGCAATGTGCATGTGTGTACAATAAGAGATAATATCATGGCTCCCCGGGGGCTTGTTTGGCCCTGTACCCGATCCATCAAACGCACACTCCAAGTGCCAAGGTCAACTCTAATGAGCATTTTCTGGGGTCTTATTCTCAACACCAAGCACCCCCCACCACCACGAGCACCAGCTCACGTGCACGCTATCCAAACACACCTCAGACATACCTGGATGTCTGCAGGATGGATGGTTGTGACAGGGAATAGAAGATGCTCGCATGCATCCTATCACACAGGAATCAGACATCAAATCAGTGGCAGGAGAGCAGGTGCACCTGACAGGTGGGGGGTTGAAAGGGGAGTGATCCATGGCAGGTGTGAGGGTCTTCAATATTTTTTCAAGCACTGATCAAAATGTGGCGTCAGAAGGAGTTAAAAATCCATGATCTTGTTATCGAAAGGTGAAGATAAACATGATTTGCCTGGCCCAGTTCTGGCCCATGCAAAACACTCAGCATACAGCAAAAGAGGGTACGCTTTGGTGACAAAGATGTCGGTTGACAGAGATGGTCTGTGCACAGGCCAGCACCACATAAAACAAACTACAGCCGGGCCAGCTGTGGCACTGATAGATTTTGAGCTAAGCAAAACAAACTACAAGTGAGCCAGTTAAGGCATTATCAGGTTTTGGCCAAGTAAACCACACCACAACCAGGCCATTTGTGGCAGTGATAGATTTGAGCCACATAAACCACACCACAACAGGCCAGTTGTGGAATTGATAGCTTTGGGCCATATAATACAAGCTACAAACTGGCCAGTTCTGGCATTGGACAATTTGGGCTACATACAGTAAACCAAAACACCACTGGGCCAGTTGTTGCATTGACAGATTCAAGTCAAATAAACCAAACAACAACCGGGCCATTTGTGGCACTGACAGATTTAGGCCACACTCTGTAAACCAAACCACAACAGGGCCAGTTGTGGCACTGACAGATTTAGGCCACACTCTGTAAACCAAACCACAACAGGGCCAGTTGTGGCACTGACAGATTTAGGCCACACACTGTAAACCAAACCACAACAGGGCCAGTTGTGGCACTGACAGATTTAGGCCACACACTGTAAACCAAACCACAACAGGGCCAGTTGTGGCATGTCAGATTAAAAAAGTGCCATATCTGGCCCACACCTGCATTGAGAGCTTCGGGTCATGTAAACCGACCTACTTGCTGTAAATCAAACCACAACCAAGCCAGTTGTGGCATCTTAAAAACTGTGCCATCGTTGCCATACCTGGCCCACATCCAGTTGACAAGCCACTTTCCATGCCGGCAGTGCCAGTATGACACCAGATGTGGCCCACACCTGTTGGCTATGCGGGTGTTTTTGCCTGTTATCAACATTTTACAGACATTGCGCTAAGATTTGGAGTGGTAGTGACTGACAGTCATTCCTAATGAACACTCTGACTGCTAACAGATCACGTGACATAAAATAATGATGTGACTTGGCACATTCAGACTTAAAGCTTTAAAATAAAAAAAAAGCAACTAAACTTGGAGAAATTTGGGCCTGGTACCGTAGGTGGGCTTTCAAAGGAACGTCGTCATCATCCCCCTCGTCACGTGCCGACCTGCCAAAGCTCGTTAGGGTCTGAAGGCTTGTGTGCCGAAGCATGTGGAGCATGCTAATGAAGCAATAAAAGCCACAGTGGGAGGGGTGAAGGCATGTTGGAGGGGAGGGGAGGACTGGGAGCCTCTGACAGGAGGTGTGATAATTGAGATGTTGTGACCTCACATATTACCTGCATATTGGCTAAATTAGGAAGCAGTGAGTTTAAAGCCAGGAACCCCCCGCCCCCCCCCACCACACACACACACACACACACACTTTGACATACAAAACG